CGTGAATCCTAGCGATCCACGTACAGAGTGTGGTAACGCTGCACAACAGTGAAAGATAAGGACTGGAGGCTGTCTTTAAGTGGGCACGGTGATATTAAACTCCTGCACGAGGAGTCACTGAAGCTGGAAGAGCGCAGCCCTTAAATACCTGGTTACTCAGCAGCTGATGAATGTGGTATCTGGGTCCCTGGGCTCTCTCCCCTCTGCACTCATCTTTGTAACTCGGTGCTACCTCTGCTATTTGGTCAAGAATGCATTAATCCATAATGCAAACTTCAGGTAAACGTCTCCTTCAGCTGTCTCTCTGATTCTTGCTACTCTCCAGTAGGCTAGAGCTTGAGATGTGCCTCACTTACACTTTGTCATACTTGGAAAAGAGAGAGGACTAAGGTGGCTTTAAACTTGTACCTGGCTGCACCGTAGGAGTTGCTGGGTTGGATGCAGGCGTAAAACAGAGTGGGCTTAGGCTTTTTTTTTTTTCCCCCCCCTCACTTTGTTTTCCCTGCCAGCATCTCTTGAGGACTACTCTATTGTGTGAGGGTTGTTAGGGGATGGACTTCCCACTCATGAGTCATGCCTGGGGCCTTGCTCCTGCAATGAAGAACAGCAAAAGCAGGAGTGGGTCCCAAGACCAGGCTTCCTCGAAGGATTCCTTTAGGTAAACTGTGGCCAATGTGTGTTGATGAACTACTTGCACAGCAGATGGGAAATGAATGGAAAGCATACAAACCCCTCTATCCATGTTACAAGTTTGTATATTTTCTCCACTGCTAATCCAGTCTGAAGCCTGTTGTTGTTGGGGTTTTTTCCCTTTGAAAAAATAAAATAAAAAATCCAAACACTTAGTGTTTTTATTCAAGATCCATTATGAGGTACTCTGTTTTTCTTGCTGCTTCACTGGATGCTAAACCCAAATTGCTCCATGGTAATTTTTAATGACCTAGAGCTCTGTACACATTTCTCTAATTGGGTATATTTCAAGCAGTTGCTACTTCAGGCCTTCATCTTACTGTATTTCAGTGGAGAGGAAAATAAACAATCAATGTCGACTGGAGGTAGAGATTATAGATGGAAAACTACGGCTCCGTGAATGAAAGTGTTATTCAGGGAGTGACGTGTAATCCCCAAAATCCAGACTGGGAGAACCGCTGCTCAGCTGAGGCTGCTTTTAAAGCCTCTAAGGCAACTTGCTTTCCTTGTAAACTAAGGAATTGGGTATAAATACATTTTACTGCACCTTTAAAGTACAAAACAAAACAGATGGATGAAAGGTACTGCGCTCTCTTGTCAGCTCTCACCCTCTTTACGTGGACCTCTTCCAGCCCTCCCAGTCTTTCTTTGTGGGTTTTAATACAGTTAGTAATCCTAGCTTCCCCCGCACCCCCTTGGCAAGGGGCCTTTCCCCTTGCCAGTCTTTGGTCAGGCAATACTAGGGAGCCCAGTTCAGAACCTGCTGCTGATGCCAAACCTGTGATTAGCTGTTGTTTGGAAACCCTGATAATTAGGCAGGGGGTGGGGGTGGTGTGCGTGTTCAGCTGGAAGCCAGCGGTCTTGTGCAGGATGTCAGGGGATGGGGACGGTTTTCTGGGCGAGTGTCACAGAGCAGTTCAGTTTACTGTAGTGCAAAGCGTCAGGGGGCGTGGAGCGAAAATCCCTGATGACGTGTTGGGGTGAGGACATCCTCAGGAAGGGCATGTTGTGATGCAGCTGCCTCCCCAAACCAGGTGGGTTGGCTTTGTTGCCTGAACTGCAGAAGCAGATAAAGCACTGAAGGCTGAGTGAAAAAACAAACCAAAACAACCAACTTTCTCTAAACAAAAAGCAATCAAATGCTGGGATTCTTGCACAATCTGGGACCTGGCAGGGCGCTGTAGAAACCAGCACATATTCTGAGCCTTGTGCTCCAGAAAATGTATCGTGAGCTGGCAGTGCTGGACAGTGGAAGGCTCGTAAGGGTAAAAATATTAATGCTGTGTGCTTTAAGGTGCTGCATTTCAAGAGTGGGGTACTTGATTCAAATATAACTTGCTTGGGGGCCATCTGAGCCTGCAGGCTTGTTTCAGCTTGTTCTTAACTGCTGTGCCTTGTTTCTGCCACCTACCTCCAAGCAAGCAGCTAAGAGGACAATTTAATTTAGTTAGGCAGCTCCCCTGAATCCAGGCACAGGCATGGCTTTTCCAAATGGGTTGGGTTGTACACAGAGGGCAAAGTCTTTCCCTTGCCCCAGCACCGTGCGAGCATTAAGATGCATGAGCAGAACTCAGTCGGCTGTTGCTTGGAAGGTGCTGGTGTTAGGTACAAATTATATTTCTTGGGGCTTATTCAGTCTAATACCAGTTTCTATTGTCTGTAGAGAGAACAGCCTAGGCTAGTGGTCTTTGTTAGGTCAGGTGGACCCCAGAGCCTTGGGCGCAGGGCTGGCTGGAGAAACAAAACACTTTTGGAACTAGAAAGATAGCCAAGGACCAATGCTTCCTTCTGTAAATCCTGAATTTGGAGTTGGGAGGGGATGTCTGCCAGGGTGGAGACTGAGACAAATGCAATTGCTCCCTTTCCCTTGACTCATTAGGGATGGAGTGATCCTGTGCCCCTCTTTGCTGGGCTATGAGAAGTCTACTTCACCTCTGCCAGGCAGCGCTGCAAGGCAGAGACTTCTCCTCTCTCTTCTAGCTGGGCACTTTGGCCCAAGTGCAGGGTAGTGTTTTCAGTTTCGGTTCCTGAGAGTAAGAAAAAAGCTGTGTCTGAATCCTGCTGTCTTTTCGCAGGCGCTCTCCAGATGCAAGCAAGCCTAGGTTTCTTATTTGACCTCAATTTATACTTTCCCAGTGAGAAATGAGGAGGGTCTGCAACTGAGAGTCCTGACTGGAAGAAAGCAAAGTCTACTGTAAGCATATCTCTACCTCCCTTAATAGCAGGAGTGAAAGGAAAGTTTCTGCTTAGTGGAAGAAAAAAAGCGAGCGCAGCTAAAACCTTGCTAAACAGTCACTTGCTGCTTTTCAGCTCCTGCTTGCTCCCTGTGATTTGGCAACGCTCTATTCTGCCCGCACGATTTCTTCAGTGTGACTGGGCTTTGCAAAAACCTCCTTAATCCAGCACAGAAAGGTTTTATGCAATCGCATCCAACACAGTCCTATTTCGCTTGATTTAAATGAGAAAGTTAAATCTCAGTCTAGACGGAGTGCTCTCTAGCTCCTGTGAATCTTGCACCGGGCGAGATGTATCATCTATGAGTATGTTTCTCATTTTCCAGACGAGCCCAGGGGATCTGCACCCCCCTCCATAAAATTCCTGTCTGTGCTAAATTGCCTTTTAGTCCTGATTTATACCTCAGTAAAACACATCATGCGAAGGAGAAAATGTTTAATTGTATAACTGACATGACTTAGCACAGGGCACATTTTTGGGTGGTTATTTATGCACTTATCTTCTTTAGGAGGGAGTATAAAGACCCATGACTTTCATTTACAGTGGGAACAGTGAAAGGTGAGGAAAACGAATGTGGTGAAGGACAAGGAGTAAACCTTAAATTAGCATGGCTTCTGTTAAAAGAATCACTGAAAAATATGAAGGATTTGGGATCATAAGGAGTTCCAAGAAAAACTTCGAGATTCCTCCCATCCCCTATCAAACCAAGCCAGAAAACAACCTTATGTTGAGGCTGTTTGATGTTGAAAGTTGGAAAACGTTCTCAAAGCAGTTACAAGTGAAGAAATCCTCTTTTATGTTTCTTATGAAATCATTGATTGTGAGTTCTTGTTTGATTTCTTTCACCCAGGCCCCTTTCAAAACTGTGCTGCGGTTTTAAAATAGTTTTCTCAAGGGTGAATACGGTGCTAGACCCCAAGAGACAGGTATGCAGGCCTGTCTTTGGGTTTCTGCTGCAAAGTTCCTACTGGCAACCTTGTCCTACTGATGACGGGCACCCTGGCAGCACCTTAAACAAGTGTTCAAGCAGAACATGAAGATAAGCAGACTCCAGGATAATTAGAAATGGGTTCATTACTGGGAGGCCAGCGTGATTTACTTAATTACATCGTAAATATGCTTCCTTATCTTTTCTATCATCTGTGTAAGGATGTAGCTTCTAAGACTGTTCTTTGGGGGTGAAAGCTAAGGAGCAAAGTTAAGCTTGTTGCTCAGCTCCAGTTTGGTCTCATTACTGGCAAAATGTTTATAATGGCACAAAGTTAGTGTTGACATGTACTTTGTTCTGCATGACGTGACTTTGCCTGAAGGGCCATCTAAGCTTCAAATGCTGGAGAGTAGGTGCATGGTAATGCATGGACATGCCTATATATTTGCATGTTAGGCTGATAAAGAGAATAAAAACTTCATAAATATGTAGGTCAGCAGCATTCTTATCTCCTGTCTTTTGCTGTCTCAGCCCTGAGCCTACTTGCCTTGCCTGCGGTGGTGTCCTCTGCATGGGAACTTGTCCGCGATTGTGCTGCGGACCAGCAAACGGGGAGCGTGAAGTTAGGAACTTGTGAAGGTTTCAGAGTGGTGGGGTGCGAGGCCTCCTAAAATGTCTTAGGCGGTCCATAGGAGAAGCTGAATTCTTTCTGTTGACATCTAGAAATTTCCCTTAAGTATGGGAAGTGATCAGCGCCATCTTCAAAAGTTCTCCTCTAATGGAGAGCTGGACAACGTCGCTCACCTCTGTGTACTTTGATGCTGTATCATCCCCTGAGACATCGTTTACTAGAGACAAGCCTCCCCCACTCTTCACCAGAGAAAATCCTCCAGACAACGCGTTCAGTAAAGATACATTTGCTACCAAGACTTGCGGTGCTATGCCTACCCAGGATACCAGTTCTAGCTAGCTTTGGCACCAAGACTGGTTGCGCCCAAGCCTAAGAAGGAGCGCCTTGCCCGACCTCTGAACACCGTGGGTGTTCGGTCAGCCTCGGAGAAAGAGAGTATTTTCTTGCTGAACTGAAAAGAAAGGCAGTTACGCTTCTATTAAAACAGCTTTTGACTTTGTAGAAAGTGAAACTTACCATTATTCAGTGTTTTTGGCTTCCTCCTACAGTATGTTAATCGAAGGAACACAGGAGCTTTGTGCATCGGTGATGGTTATCTCCATAGGAAATCCAGCATTGTGGTTACACCGGCTGGTTTTTTGCTGTTCCTAGTTGTAGGACTTCTTTTCACTTGCAGGATTTCCTTGTTCCAAATACTTCTTCATAGACCCAAGTGCTTTTTTTTATTTTTCCCCTCCTCTGAAAGAAAAGGTCAATGAAACAGAGGTGAACAAAGGAGGAAAATGTCTTTCCATTTACTTACTGTCCTGCCAATTCAAACAGTTCTGTGCCGCACAGGGTTTCCCCGCACGCTTCTCCTGAGGATGCACAAGACTGACTTCAGGGAAAAACTCTGATTCTCTCTAAAATACAATTACATAACTTCGCCAGTGTCAGCGATATGTGTTTTTAATCAGCAGCCTGACCTTTTTTTTTTTTTTTATATCCCTGTTAAGGGCTGAGGAATTTTGGCAGGTATCATAAAGTGATGCATGCTGCATGGCCTTATTTTACTGCTCCCAGTGCATTTATCAGGAAGGCTGATATCCAGAGTTGTTCAATAGCTCTGGAATGCTTATTCCAGGAGTTCCTTCATCTGCGGATCTGCAGCCTAACGTTGCAGCTTTGTGCTGGAGAACCAAAAGGTCAAACAGACTTCATCCGGGGTAAAATCAGCTACTTTGCAGCTTCGCTAAACAAGCTTTGAGACAAATGCAGCCGAAAAACCAAAGCATGGCCAATCCACAATTGTGGATTGAAAATACAATATTTTATGAGTTTGAATAGCTTAGCCTTTTTAAAAATATTTTTGTTGCTCTTCATATTGAGCCAGTGCCTAGAGCCAGACCACCATATGGATTATGCAAACATAAGACAAAGGGTTGATCTCTATACTGGAGATCATTAATCTAGCTTTTAAATGACCAGTCATGCTTTCAGAGGTCATTTTAGTTTGTTTTTTAAACCTGCTTGTTGTCTTGAGTAACCAAACATAACATTGCTGAGGACCTGCCTTTATTCTTATAAGGGACACAAAAAGTACTGTTGTACATGGAATTTGCCTCCTGATCGTTCAGGCCTATAGGTGACTGTCCACAGACAACCAGTTCCTCTGTGTGAATTTTCTGAGACATTTCACATTTCAAAGACAGACCTGAACTGCATGGGAAAAAAAAAATCAACCAAAAAACACCAAAACCCCCCCAAACAACCCATGGGAGTTGTCAGGAAATAGCTGAGCAAGCTTGTGAGAAAACTGTGAGTTAGAGGAATATGCGAAGAGTTTATGCCACACGTGGAGGGTGTAAAGTTTTAGACGGGCTCAGGGTAGGGCTGCAGTAAGCCATAACGTAATCCTCCTAGCATGCGACACGCAGGATGAGCTAGCGGTTGAGTAGAGTTACTTGGCTTTGGGATCTTTTCCGTTTGCCAGGAGAGTCAATCTGAAGGAAACCTTGGAAACGGAGCACACTTTTTTTGAAGAGCTCAGTAACTTTTTCGCTACTTGTACTTCCAAATCCAGAAAAGTGGTTGTCACAAATGAGACTGTTTCTCTTGACTTGTCAGGGGAGTGGTGTCTCTGAGGTACGACAGTGCCTCCTGAACTTCAAAATGTTTTCACTGTCCTCTTGGTAGCACGCAGAGAACCCAGGAGGCATGACTTTCCCCCTGCCCCCAAATTCTTCTAGACGACATTAATGCCCCGTCCAAAAATTACGGAGGACACACTGCACAAAGTGAGGCAGAAATGACTGTTGCCTTAAAATATGCTCACATCGCGGCTCTAATGCCTGCCCCTGCTCCCAACCAAAATAGATTTATAACAAAGGCACCGAGTAAGCTGTAGGGTCCTTCAGCTGACGGCGAGACTGCTGGTAAAGGTTGCACAGCCGTCTCCTTTCTCTGCTCCCAACAAATGAGGAAAACTGATGTCCTGGCAAGGACTTTTCCTGTCTGTCTGGGTCTTAAGTGCAGAAGCAGCACTTCCCAGGAAAGAAAAAGAAATGGTATTTTTGTGTGCGAAGAGCACTCAGCTGCTTGTTGCATTTTTTGTTGTTTATTCCCCCTGCCCCCTGACTTCTCAAATGTGTTCAACATGCTGAACCCCATTTCTCCCCCATCATCCAACCTGCAGAGGATTTAAAGAACAGGATCCAAAACTTTCCCGTATGTCAAATACGGCAAGTGTCCTGAGGGATGAAGGGGCTAGAGCTGACTTGTTGCACCAAGCCCAGTGTATTGGCCCAATATGCATCCAGAATTTTGATCAGTCATTGGGCCAAAGAGTTTGGCCAGGTGGGAGACAACTTCAGTGGGACTCTTCAGGAAAGCAATATGTGCTGCCTTGCTGCAGGACCTTGCTTAGTTCATATCTTTGGACTGTTTTGCAGAAGCTTTAGCAATTGCTTTTTCTCTCCTCTTCCCCCTCTCCAGGCCCCATGGTGTGAGCCATGCACTCCTTGTGGTCCTTCCTCTCAGGGCAGAGGGCAGAAACGTTATGTCCCGCTCTTTCTTCGCACCAGGCCAACTTTTCTTCTGCAAGGTGTGACCTTGAGGAAGGGCAGCCTGTGCCTGCTTTGGCTCCCGTGAGGGGAGTGATGGGGCCAAACCGCTCGTGTGGGGTTTCTTGTTCCTGCTGGCCGTGCATCTCTCTTGTGACACGGGAGATGTGCTGATGCTTCTGGGGTTTGTCCAGGTGTGGGGAATCTTACAGGCAAGCTTTAGGGTGCAGTTATGCCACTGAAGTAACGCCAGCGCCAATTCCTTTGCTTGTGGATCAAGGGTGTAGTTCAGGCTGTTTGAGCTATTTCTGAGGCAGTACTCTTGAGCACGGCAGGACAGGCGAGGTATTTGATCCAAGCAATGCCCCCGCTTTCCCAAGAAGCGTCACCGACTTGCTGGTGCGTACTTGCAAGGAAGAGCCTGAAGCTTGTTGGCGTGTTATTTCATCTCTTAGTACAGCTTTTTTTTTTTTTTCCACTGCCCAAGAGTGAGACATGAAACCTGCCTATAGAATTCATCCCTCTTGCTTACTTAAGAGTCTCCAAGGGAGTTGCATTGCCTGCTTTCATGGTAGGCAGCGGTAACCTTGTGCTAAATCCCGTGAACCAAAGGCTGCAGGATACTTGAGCTTTCAGCCAGCGCTTGACTTCATGGCTTAGGCAACCAAATAGCATGCCAGAAGTAAAACGGGGTTTCTCAAATGAGTGCTTTGGGATTATTACCCTTACATTTCAATTAATATGTTCATTCCTGTAGCACAGTCTCAGGCATACAGAAAACATTTGTTTTGCCAAATGGTACCAAGAGCAAAATTACCCTTCTATGATCCATGTGGTTTACCAGTACTAAAGAATGATGGAAAGACAGATCCAATTAAAATCCTTTTTTAAATAAAAACACTGAAGAAATCTTTGTCAGCTGTGTTTAAGGAAGAAAGGCAAACATACAATCTTAAGCCTGTCTCCTCTAAATAAGGACATCATTGTACTGAAAGGGCTAACTGCTGCTCTCTATACTGCATGGTTTTACTTTGTGCCCTTTCATAGCACTGAAGAAGAAAATAAGGTGCAACCCACATGCCTTCCAGATCTGCCGTAAGGCATTTTCCCCCTCGCTCGCTCTTGCTCCATAATGAACAAATGCTCTGTGCCTTTGCTTCACAAACGGATTATTTATTGCTTGATGCTGAATTCCCCTTTTATTTGCTATATAATTTTCATCCGTTTATTTTGAAAACTGCTCTTTCAGGTATCTGCTCTTCTAGCACTGAAAAATGCCTCTCTGTGCTGACTGAAGTGCTACAGCAAGTTATTGGTTTCTCATTAGGAGAACAGCCTGAGGGACAGGCCACGCAGGCAGTCCTTGCAACCTGAGCAAGTAGCGGTGAGAGAGAATGCACTGGTATGAGGACCTGAAGTGACCTGTATGAGAGCCAGGCAGACGATCCCTGGTGCCGTTGGGAACAGAGTCCACGTTTTCTGTATCACAGGAGGGTCTCATCTTTGACAACTCTGGATGGCAGGATTGTCAGGACCCCAGAGAACAGTCAGCTGTTGTAGCTGGAAATAACCATCTAACCTGCCCTGCTCACAGGAGACCTGGCTGGAAGAGTTACTCTGGCTAGATGCAGAAATGGAGAGGAGAGCGTTAGTAGGTAGGGGTCAACCAGCTGGGAGAAGGTGGTGAAGAGCAGAGATAGATGGCTGAGGTGTAAACCTTGATTAATGGGTGTTTGGCTTCACTGTTCAGGAAGGGCATGGGAGCCGAGAGATTGCAGAGGCGCATTTAATTTAAACTACAGGGAACGTACTTGAACTCCCAAGTAACCTGCAGTGGGAATCGCCTGATGCTTCTCACTGAGAAGATCCTGCTGGAAGGTGTTCACATGTCTGCTGGGCTTTGACTGGATGGGCTGATGGCTTTGGGGTCAAACTACAGGCACTGATCCTGTGATCAGCCCCAGTTCCTGAACCAAGAGCTGTTCCTCACGGTGGCTGCGTGGGATGGGCTTCGCCTGATGGCTGCTACTGAACAGCAACATTAACTGCCATGATTAAACCATAGATACCTCTCAGTCTGTTAAGCAAACTGGAGGGTAACTGGTTGAAGAGCATTACCCGGGAGGCCATTCTCCTTCGGGGCTCAGAGCAGGGGTCTGGGCTGTGTTTCTTTTCTCTGCAACGGGCTGCAAGCTCCTTGGAAGCTGGCCGACTCACCTTCTGGGAGGGGGACCATAAAGGGAGTAATGATGGGTTATTGCACTAGCTCTAGTAGAGAGGTGTAAACGTTGCTCACAAGAGCCCATTTCACATGTGGAAATCTGTTTTTTTTCAGTATATTTGTTGTAAAATATTAAGAAAGTGATGTTAGAAGTGTCCTATTAATTTGAGTGGTGTTTTTTGATGCTACTAATGGTACTTTTAAAAATGGATCAAAGCCAAAGTCATCTGCATGACCTTTGCCTGAGGTTAAGTTGCTTAAATCACAAAACTTTTCACCTTATCACTCAGTGTAGTCACTCACTTTTTGGTTTCCTTTTCATGCTGCGCGCCTCCACGCGTTATCCGGTATATACCGTATGTCTTCCTCAGCCCTCAACTGCATAGTTATTTTTATGTTTGGTTGTCAGGCAGTGCTGCTGTTGTAGGTGTCCATACAGTGTTTATCTGCCTAGCGATGAGA